CAGGTTTGCAAATTATTTTTTTCCAAGAACATATGGTCACTGTAAGTCTACCACAAGACTGGAAACGTTGGAAGCTGTTGTCCAATTCCTCTGTGTCAGCTTGGCAAGCAGTAAAAATGGTATTTTTCTGCAAATATGCTGCAGGATTTCACCCCACTGCAATGGCTGGAGGCATTATGTCATAGGGGCAGGTCTGAAAGGAGATGTTTGGGATAAAGGAATTATCTTGCAAGACCTTTGATCTGTCTCAGGTTCTCTTTTTGCTAGGTGGTTTCCAACAACACATTTTCCTTTTTCCAAGTCCTGCTGTGACCAAGGTTCATTCCTGTATTGGGCCACGCAGTGTAGTGTTTGTGGAGTGTAGGGCAACAGGCCTGCACGGATCAGGAACGGAAGGTAACAGACTGGAGCCTCTTGTAAAAATCTCGTTTGTGAGGACAAGTTTTGCAAAAGACAACCCGTGGTCTAAAGGACATCCCTTTGGGCATCTGGAGCAATGTTCAAACAGTGCCATTCAGAGCAGGGCAAGAATGAACAAATGAACCACAGTGTGAAGTGTGTCGGAGGAGACAAGATCTCATCAGAACTGAGCTGCTCTGCAGTAGCCACTAAAGAAACCAAAATCTGCTTCCAGTTCAGCCGAGGGTTTCGCAGACGTGCCCGTATTCTTTTCTTGGCAACGGCACTAGGGGCGTTTTGCCATTGAATTTTTGTAGGATTTTTTTTTTCTTTTTTTGACTTCCCAGGGTAGTCTACAGCCCTAGGATTTGCCAGTGGTAGCGACTGGCAATAGGTCTTGAAACTTCTCAAACTCTGCGTGAGAAGATCTGACACAGAAATGAAGTGGAATTGGCGTGCCCTAAACGCGTCTGGTCTGTGGTTCGGTGGCCAGAGAAGAGACAGGTGGAATTGTCCCAGAGAATAGGGGGAACTACTCTTGAACGTTGGGAATAAATTTCCCTGTCTCCTGCTATAACTCCTTAGCAGGTGCAATCCAGCGGTACGGTTCCTCTAAAAACTAGAAGCCCCGTGGCTCAGGTTGACACAGCTCTGTGCCTCTGATATTGCTGAGATTTGGGGAATGACCCAACCGAATGCATTCAGTCATGTCATTCTTCATCAGACGGTCTCCCAAGGATGTGTTCACGCTCCTGCTGCTTAGCCAAGCCCACCGAAGCCAATAGCTGTAAATCTGTCTAGGGCTTTTAAATATTTCCACTCTGAAGGCTCCGTTTCTCTGCAAAAAGCACATTTGAATCGGGAGGCGTGTCTTTCGTCAACAAGAAGACGTGCTTTGAAGTATGCAGAAACTGGAAGCTGCATCTGATGTTACGGGAGATGCAAAGGCAGAAACTCCCAGCTGCGAGAGTGATGCTTTCCACGAGAGATCGGCCGCCACATTTCCTGACTCTTCCCAAAGAAAAACCTGGGCAGGGGATGAAAGGCACCAGATATCCCCTCTGAAAGCTTTGAAATACCTAGAATTATTTTCAGCTGTTCAGAAAGGGGCCATTTGGCCTTTTCTGGAGGCCTCTTAGAAACGAAAGGTTATTGCTTTTGCTGCTGCAAATAAAGCGGAGCTCCTGGTGCCTAACCAATCCCAGGTTAAACGAAGGCAGCTCAAGAAAGGAGCTTACTCTCTCGAGGCCACTTTGATGTTATGTCTGGAAGGGACCCACCCAAGCATGTCCAACAGATCCTTGGTGGAGTCCGGATGGATCAGTTCAACAAAGACTCAGTGCCTGAGTTCCAGTCTGAAGCAATCAAACGGTGGTTGATTTCTAGCTTAACCAGAATGTGTGAACTCAACTCCTAAAGAGCCAGGTCAGTCTGGCCTATGCAACAAATGAGTTAGAAAATCCTGGCTTAATGTAACTTGTGAAGCTAGCCTTTCAGTCAGTTACTGATGCTCGGAGCACCATCCTTTAGCCTGTCAAATCCTCTCTTTGTTTTATCATTCCCTTTTTAAGTAGCCCATTTCCATGGCATCCAAACTGTTTTTATGTTTCTCTTGACATTCCCTTTATTTCCATTTAACAGTGGGCAGAAGCCTATTCTTATATAAAACCATTTTCATGTCTTTTGGCAAACATTCATTCCTCACTGTAGACCACAGGCCACCCACCACCTTTCTCCCAACAACTGCATGTCTTAAAACGTCTCCATCCATTTTCCCCATCTTTAGTTAACATTCTACTTAGGTACAAAAATTAAGTGACTTGGTCTAGTTTTTCACCACTTATGTATAACTTGCAATTGTTCATCCTGTTTTCCCCCCAGATACTAATTCTATGGTTTTTGCTATATTATTTTTCAGAGCTATGCGCCTTGTTGCATCACACAATCTAACATTCGCTGCAAATTGTTGAGACAACAACATGGCATCATTTGCATACAAAGTACAGACGCGTCCACATTCCCAAACAAAGCACGTCTACGTCACCCAAAGTTTTCCTTACACGTTTATCCAAAAATGCAGTAAACAACCCAGAGGACATTGCGCATCCTTGTTTTCTGTCCTGCTTTCTGCTGACCCATTCACAAACGTTCCGTTTTTTCTCATACATGCTCTATTTCCATCTTCTGCCGTTTTTATCACCTTCAGCAACCAACCTTCGGTTCCATAGTTGCGAAAAAATTCCATAAATCAAGCCTACTCCAGTTTATCAAACGCTTTCTCTAAATTAATAGATACACGATAAACTTTCTTTCTCACAGACATACATTTCTCAGTGACCCGCTGAAGAGCAAAAATCTGGTCTGAACACCTCCTGCCCCCCCTAAAGTTGCACTTGAACTTTCCAATCTTAATTCTTGTCACTTCTGTACAATTCTTTTGATATTTTGATAAGGCCCACTCTTGATACTATAAAAAGAAGTCTGTTCCACATTTAGAACATCTCATCACCCTTGAATTCACTAATTCTCTCAATCATTCATAATAAGCAATAAAATCAGTTACGCTTTTAGATTTATATTCATTCCTTTTCCATGCATGAATAGACTTGCTCTTAAGCCATGTATTTGAGACAAAGACTTTGTCCTAAGCAGATGCTCACCAAACAGTCATTATGCTTGGGTTTTTGGATGTCCTAATGACTTCCTTTACTCTTTCATCTTGTTTTCAGTCATCCATTCATGTGACTTAATAGAGTGTTTTTCCCCTGGATTGCATTCATTCAGAATATTGCACATTTTTTCTCCAAAATCATCCTTGGTTTTTCCAATTTTAGCCCATTTTTTGTTAAAAGGGCTTCCCTGCACGTATTCATTGGCTGCGCTGTGGAAGATCAGCCCACCTTCATTCAGACCGATCTCATCCTTCCCCTTTCTCTTGACTTCCCAGACAGATCACAGACCTATTTTTCTTTCTTCCCTTTAAGGTATTAATGGTCCCTCTTCACTGCTTTACCCTCTTCCACTCTAAAGCCCAATCTTCTGTATGCCGTGGTCATAATCAGACAGGCCCATAGACGTTGACCTCCAATGCCCATCATGGCTTTGGTCAATCAGAGTTTCCCATCATGCTCTTTGATAAGCCATTACCACGGGCAGTCTTCATGGCTACTGATGGTAAAGCACGTTGGTCATTTGGGTACATTTTGGCCCGTCTCCCGCAAGTGCAACCCAGATCAAATTCTAACCCAAGACGGTTTGCTCTTCTCTTTGCAAAGGAGTCAAGGTGACAGCCACAAGCCTGCAAGCTGAGCTCCACCTCTTTTCTACATGCAGCACATAAAAAGGGGGCTGTGTTTTGATGGCATGGCTGTAGCTGCCATCTTGACTCTTTTGACAGCCTCCCTGTGGATACCCCTGCATGCTGGCATCTCTAATCTAGAGGCTTCCTTACAAGCCAACATCCCACCAACTTGGAACGCAGAGGACTGGCACATGCTCAGTGTCTTTAAAATATAATTACAGGTGTTATATTTCATTTCTTGTAATACATTTTGTTTCTCATTATGACTTGATGACAGGCCACTGAAGATAAAAAATGACTTTTTGGCTTTCTTGATCTCTACAAACTACTCTTGAATACTGCAATCCAGGAGGGATACAAATGTGTGGGAATCCGCCAGCAGGCACACGCATAAAAACACCCTCATTTGCCTCTTGACAGGTTTAGTTTCTCAACCTAATGTGGAGAAGCAAATAAATATATGCGTTTATTCTGGGTTGGGAGCATCGTCTTTTGCAACTGAAATCTCCTTCGCTCCAGCTACAGATCCTTGATTGCTAAACGCCAACTGCAATTCTAAAGACTGAAAATGAATCTGGGCCCGGATCTCGTGCTCCCAATTTTAATCTAAGTTGAAAGTGAATTAGAAGGAGGAGGAAGAGACGTGTCAAGGGCTGAACAGAGGTTTTGAAGTATGTTAATAAAGTGAAAGTACAAGGAGACTGTTTGCAGTTGCTTCTGATTGAGGTAGCTGTTTATGATATGGGCTGAATTTTAATAGGTAGCCTTTTATCTCTCTCTTGCCACAGCCTGAAAAACTAGGTCACAGTTACTCCCATTTTAGAGATGGGAACACTGAGATTGAAAGTTGCCTGAGGCTTTGAACCATGCTGACTTTTTCCAGCTGTTCATTGTAATAAATCAGCTGTGCATCGTAATAAATTCTTGGAGGCCCAAATCCTATTACAGTTTTTCTAAGTGAAACAAACTGGGCTGGTTTTGTGCTATGTTTAGTCTTGGGAGCATCCAGAGCCCAGTCACAAAGAAGGCATAAAAGAAGGGTTGCCTTTCAACAAAACTTGGGATCCATGTTCACCGCAAGGAGCAAGTAAGAAGAGATTGGACCTTGTCCTGGGAACTCCTCTGCCACCAGGCCAGAGAGTAGCCATCAACAAAGACCGGGATGAGCTCACCAAGACAACGGATCGACTCTGTGGTGGCTCATCCTCCAGATGGGCCTGTCCAGGAAGTCCCTGAGATGTTGGGGTTGGGCAAGGGGACCCCTAACCCCCCAAGACATACGCATCTACATCTCTCTCACCTTCTGAGCCTGGAAGATCATCTTGCGCACAACCTCTTTGATGTGGGGCTGGTAGTCAATGGGTGGCTGCATGTAGACTGCAGCCCGGGTAACCCCACGGTAAGCAATGGCCTCTGGCCAGCCGAGGTCCAGTTGCGGGATGGATCGGTCAGACCTTTCCGGCCAGTATTCCAAAGAAGGCCCTGGGCCCTGGTCATCAGTCTGGCTGCTGCAGTCCACACAGCCACTCTTGTCCTTGGGGGGATATTCGGCACCAGGGTCGTAGGTTTCCAAGGTCTCCAAGACTTTTTTGAGCTCCAGCTCGGAGAGGAAGTCCCGAATGCTCTCCTTCTTGAGAACTTCGTAGAAAGCTTCTGGCCCTTTTGATACCAGAGCTTCCAAGGCCAACCTCTGCTCCTCGCTGTAGAAGAATTCTGGTTTGGATTCGCTGGATCTCCAGTTGACGTGGCTGTCGTCCAGACACTGAACCTGGGAGAAAGCCATGGCTGGATTCAAAACCAGGAGGAGAGACTAGTCCACCAAGAATAAATAAAAGGTTAGACACGTAAAGAAATAATTTAGTGGTAGGTATTCCTGAGTCGGACAGTTAGTAGCAGCTAATAGCGTTCTCTAGCTCTTTCAAAAGTTCTTAGAAACTCTTCCCTTGTTTGGCTTTTGCTAAGTTTTCTGATGCTTCACAGTCTTCAGATGTCCAGTTCCTATTTCTTAGCTGGTTCCTCATCTCATCTTGTAGAACAGAAAGCGCAGATGAGTCCCCAAATCGGTCCCAGAGTCTTTCTCTTCCCAAACTCTTGGAAGCAGATCAGAGGCAGTAGAAACAACCGGAGGCCTGTCACCCTCCCAAAAGACAACAGCCTTGGCCGATCCTCGGTCAGAAACTTTCCAACAATCCACTTTCTTCACCTCCACCCTTGACTTTCCAAATCCGCAGAGGCATTGGACGAAAAAAGGTTACGAAATTCAATCTGACGGCATCTGTCCGAAGCTGGACCCCTCTGTCTCCTGCTGCTCCGTTTGGTGATCCTCGTGCGCTGACCCCCTCCCAGTCCCTCTGAGCTGGGTGGAGAAGGGGCTCTGGTCTGTCTCCGAATCCCAGTTCCCTCCTAGCTTCGGCTTCCTCTCCAGGTGCGCTCTTGAGATGCCGGATCCGGAGACGGGTCTTGCCGGGAGACAGCGTGGAAACTCCGGTGGCAGCCAGGAGAGAAGTCAGCGTGAGAAGAGGAGGTGGGGAAAGAGGGAAGGAAGGAAGAACAAAAGAGGGCCCTGTTGAGTAAGCAGCTCCTCCTGTTTCACCTGCAGTCACGTGTCGCCCCGCCTTCAGACGGTCCCTGTTCCTGCCTGCCCCATTCAGGGCTCCAGCGGTGCCGAACCTGCCCGGCTCCGGCGGGGAAGCAGGAAACTGACTCACTGCGAGGAGTCAGGCCCCTGCTC